CACCCTGTGTTTAATAATTGAGCCACATTACGCCCTTCGCCATAATGTACATCCTTTGCGCGTGACGATACGTACAGCACATGGAGTGGTTGAATCCTCAATCGCACCAATCTGCAGGATGTAAGCACCTGCTGCTGCATGCATTTCCACTCCGTAGCAATACCACTTGCAAAATTAGCGTTTAATTGTAAGGCTGTGTAATTACAATCCCGCGTCTGGAATGTGAAATGGGCTCGAGCAAAATTGCAGGCTGCACTGCATTGCAAATGCCTCTGCAGCAGTATATTTAGGGTGCACTTCGTGCTGTTTAGAAGCTCAGCTTTGGAAACAGTGATCCACAACCCAGGGGAAATTCTCTACGTTTTATAGGACGATTTTCTAATTTATGGGTTTTTAAAACCGATTTCAGAATGTGATTGGTTTAAAATGACACCAAATCCCAGTTTGGGAAGGGAAACAATGAAAATGCTGCAACATAAAAAAAGTCCTTACAAAAATATGCACCGACCCCTTTTGCGCTCCTGTAAAGTATGGTCAAACAACCCCAATGATTGACATGACGAAGAAGTGGCTGTAAATCAATGCTGGATTATAAAATTTGTGTTTTTTGTGACTCCAGGTAATGGATCCCTTTGGCTCAATAAAATTAGTACCACCCTCATGAGCAGCCAACATTGGTCATCATATGAAATAACTGGCTCCTTGCCATGTGAATGTGAAATGTTGTACATCGTCACAGGCCTGTCAATGCTGATGAACACGACAAAATAAAATATTTTTTTTAGCAGGGAGACACTTTGCCTGCCTATTGATGTCTGTTTATACTGGTAGGAACCTCCTGGTTACACCAGCCCACAAGAGATTATTGTGTCCGTCGTGCAGGGAGGGGCTGGGTAGGGAGGGGAGGGTGGGGAGGAGCTGGGTGGGGAGGGGCTGGGTAGGGAGGGTGGGGAGGGGCTGGGTAGGGAGGGTGGGGTTGGGTGGGGAGTGGGAGGGGTGGGGCTGGGTGGGGAGGGGCTAAGTACGTACTAAATGGATGGATGGCTCCTATATCTAATGCCAAAGATGTAAATGAAGGAGCATCCAAGCGGATATCATTGACACTTCACTCTCTCGACTTGTGTACATGCACTTAAACTGCAAGTCACCCATGTCGTTTCAAAACTAACACGCAGCCTCAACAATACGTCTGTGACTTAATGTGAACCCACACAGCCTCAGTCTTAACACAAACCCACATCTCAATACTATAATACAAATAAAGACTCCACACGAATCAAGAGCCTTAACTCCTTCACCCTGCATCCTCAACACTAAGCAAGAGCTTCAACGTGAACCCACAACCTCTACACAAACCCAAATCCTCGGTACTAATCCACAGCCTCGACACGAACCCAGAGCCTCAACATGAACCTATGGGATTTCTACTTAACAACCCGGATCAGGAAGCTCTTTAATGCGAGAGCAGAGCTTTGTTAACACCTGGTGATACTGGTTTTATCCTCCTTCTAAGCATCGTGCAAAATTGTCAAAAATGTTGCTTGCTGTGCAACGTTCCGGTCTGCTGCAAACCCAAATAAAAATGGCATATCTGCCCATGTGACAACTTGATTTGAGCGGCTCTGTGGAGTGGTTGAGGGTTACAGTTGAAACATTGCCATATTTACATGACCTAACCCAAAACAACCTAATTTTGAATCAAGAAACACACAGCCTCAACTTACACCAACGGCTTTAACGTGAACCCAGAGCCTCAACACGAATCCACAAACCTCAACATAAACCTCAACATAAACCTCAACATAAACCCAAGCTCTCAACATGAACGGACAACGTCCACGTGGACCCGCAACCTCAACACAAACACCAGAGCCATGCTGGGGTCCCCTCGCCTATATTTACAAGATGAGAACAATCCTGAGACCTCGACTCCGTCACTACATGATAATAGGAGGATCAGCTCCAAGTTATTCTATTGAACTCGGCACATGGAGGGGGGAAATTTGAAAACCTTAATGGTGCCACATTGTTCAAGTGAGGAGCTGTAATTTACTACGTGAATCGGTAGTTTGTTTTTATTAACAGCAGTAGATTCGAACTGTTTGTATTGCCTTAGAATCTTAAATCAATATTGTTATGACAATGCACTAAAATAGCATCAACACGCGCCAGTTCCACGGCTGGCTTAGGCCTCTAGAGAGAAGAATATCATCACCCTCAGCTTGTTAGAGCAGCTACAAAACAAGATGTATTGCAACTTTAAAGGTGCATCAAGCAAGGATACGAGTTTGTTTTTATTTAGAAGTTAAATGCCGCGGCATCTCAAAGCTCCTTACAAAACCAGGAAAATACAAAAGCCTCCAACACGCCGTGAAGCCAAACACTAATTAATGGAATTAATGGACAAACAGCCTCATTAATGCCGACCAGTTGGGCTTTCCTGGTTAAAAAAGTGGAGTTCTACATCATCGTTATCATCACCTTGAGCAGGGCAATGCACCACGGTGGTGAGACGTGAACTTCCTCGCCTGGTATGCATGAGGTCAGGGGTTTGATCCCAAACAATGACGCCTGATGTATATTTGGAGTTTGCGTGCTCTCCCCGTAGTTGCGTGGATTTTTTTTCCTCCGGGTCCTCCGGTTTTTCCCACCACATTTAGAAACATGCTGTTAAGAGTATTTGGCCGCTGTACATTTCCACACGATAGGTCACTTTGTTGAGCTATCATTTGTGGGCAGGTCGCTTCTGAAAAATAGTTCCATAGCTCAGTGGGCTTTGCCTGATAGGATGGGGATGGTTCAGCTGAATTTGTATGTGTTTGGGTGATTTGTTTTACGTTCTTGTCCTGTGCATCCCTATCATGTTTTTGCACCGTTTGTTGTTGCAGCGTTCTTACCCGCCCCTACTGGACATATGTTAAAAAGATCTTCGTAAAAAAAATATTCTGATTCTGGTATTTAATGGTGGTGTGCATGCAATGGCAAGAAAGATCCCCCCCCCATCATCATTCCTATCGCCACCACCATCCATCAATCGCTGTCATCATCTCTCGTCGTAGCAGCAGTAGATTCTGTACTCGAGTCTTTGACGAGGCGGGCGCATTCCCATCGCCATCATCGGCAGTACTATTGAACAGTCCTCAACATCACCATCACCGCTACCATCATCAACGGTAGCGACAGTCACAGTACTGGAGAGAAGTTTGCCCGATTCCACGAGGAGGTGGACAAGTCCCCATCTGCACCACCATCATTACCACCACCATCGTGGCCAACGATTGTAGTTACAGGAGTCTATATTACCACTACCATCACCACCACCACCGATACAGGAGTTACCGCCATCTATGACTATAGGTGGGTGAGTTCCCATCATTACTAACACCACCACCACTACCATCACCACCATCATCACCAGGAGTAGTGCCACAGCACAGCAATAATAAAGCAGTCCTCTAATAGGCGATAGAGTCGCCACTACCATTACTGTCAAAACCATCACCCAGCCGTAGTTGCATCCAACAATAGTAGTAGTGAACGAAGTCCCAATCACCACGACCATCATCATCACCACCACCATTACAGAAGTCCACTAGTCAGCGGAATTTATGACTATAGGTGGGCGAGTTCCAATCATTAACACCGCTACCACCAGACTGTAGTAGTTACCTGAGCCCCATCCCCACCACCATCACAGTACTAGAGACAGCACGAGTAGTAGTTAGTTAGTTAGTTACCAGTCCCCACCACCACCATCACCAACACCACCATCACAGTACTAGAGACAGCACGAGTAGTTAGTAGTTACCAGTCTCACCATCACCACCACCACCATCACAGTGCTAGAGACAACACGAGTAGTAGCAGCAGTTACCTGAGCCCCACCACCACCATCACCACCATCACAGTACTAGAGACAGCACGAGTAGTTAGTAGTTACCTGAATCACCACCACCATCACAGTACTAGAGACAGCACGAGTAGTTAGTAGTTACCTGAGCCCCACCACCACCACCATCACCACCATCACAGTACTAGAGACAGCACGAGTAGTTAGCAGTTACCTGAGCCCCACCACCATCACCACCATCACAGTACTAGAGACGACACGAGTAGTAGCAGCAGTTACCTGAGCCCCACCATCACCACCACCACCATCACCACCATCACAGTACAAGAGACAACACGAGTAGTAGTAGCAGTGGTTACCAGTCCCCACCACCATCACAGTACTAGAGACAGCACGACTAGTTAGTAGTTACCAGTCCCCACCACCATCACAGTACTAGAGACAACACGAGTAGTTATTTAGTTACCAGTCCCCACCATCACCACAACCATTACAGTACTAGAGACAACACGAGTAGCAGCAGTAGTGACCTGAGTCCCATCACCACCATCACAGTACTAGAGACAATACGAAATGTTAGTAGTTACCAGTCACCACCACCATCACCACCATCACCATCACAGTGCGAGAGACAACACGAGTCGTAGCAGCAGTAGTTACCTGAGCCCCACCACCACCATCACAGTACTAGAGACAACACGAGTAGTTAGTAGTTACCAGTCCCCACCACCATCACCACCACCACCATCACAGTACTATAGTCAACACGAGTAGTTACCAGTCATCACCACCATCACCACCACCACCATCACAGTACTAGAGACAACACGAGTCGTAGCAGCAGTAGTTACCTGAGCCCCACCACCACCATCACCACCACCACAGTACTAGAGACAACACGACTAGTTACCAGTCACCACCACCACCACCACAGTACTAGAGACAACACGAGTAGTTACCAGTCACCACCACCATCACCACCACCACCACCACAGTACTAGAGACAACACGACTAGTTACCAGTCACCACCACCATCACAGTACTAGAGACAACACGACTAGTTACCAGTCACCACCACCACCACAGTACTATAGCCAACACGAGTACTACTACTAGTAGTAGTCGTGAGCGAGCGAGCGAGCGAGTTACCGGAGTTCTGTACGAGGCGGGCGAGGCCCCTCTTCTCGAGGAGCCCCGCGTGGCTGAGCCCGCGCGACTCGAGGAGGCCGCGCAGCTTCCTGAGGCTGAGCGCCACCGGGTCGACGAGACGCGAGGCGAAGATGCCGGTCTCGCACCACGACACCGCCTCGAAGAATCGCGCCAGCAGGAACAGCACGCACACGTAGAGCAGCAGGAACAGCAGCTTGGCCCACATGCTGCCTATGGTAATGGACGTGGGTGATGGTGGTGATGGTTGGTAATGGAGGTAAATGTGGTGGTGACGATGGTGGTGGTGGTAGTGGTGGTGATGATGATGGTGGTTGATAGGGTGGTGGTTATGATGAGTGCTGAAATAGTAACAGCAACAGCGGCTGCTGCTGCTGTTGCTGCTGCCGTGTCAGTGACAGCAGCCTTAGGGCTTCTGTCAACACCGGCTGATGGTGACGTGTGCAGCCCCCTACAGGAATCATTAATGAATGGAGGGAGACGGGAAATGGCTGTGATATTGGCGGCGCGCTTGATTTCAGGGACGGTTTAGGGGGGCTCGGTAGGCGAGAGTTAAAATCGAGAAAGAAGATTAGGTGATTTTGGTGCGACGTGTCCCTATAGGGGACTTGTTTTGGTGTCTTTGGTTAATTAGTAAAATGGCAGTGACGTCACGAGTGTTAAACGCCACACGTTTTATAGGGGAGAAGAGCAGTCCATGTGAGGTGGAGAGGGGGGTATTTAAAATATATTTTTTTATTCTAAATACGCTTTTCAACAGTATTAAAATACAAAGAGTACGTTGGTTATTAATTATAAATCGTTAGAGTAACTACACATTACAATTAGTCTCTATAACATTCCTTTTTAACGTAATAATACAAAACATCGCACACAAATAACCCCCTATTGTGTTAATGCTACAGTCCCACAACGTCAGCTGAGCGTCACCAAAACACAAAAAACCCTCCACAACCATTTAGAAACCCTAACACGGATACGCCACTCGAGCTACCCCCCCCCACCCCCCATTGGGCCACAGCCAACGGCGCGTGCAACGGCCTCGAGCCAATGGGAGGCGCCCTCGCGACCGGCAGAGCCAATCAGCGTGGCGGCTGCGGCGACGGCGACGCGCATTCGTTGTGCGAAATACAAAGCGTTGTCGGCCACGACAAGACGGCGGCGGTGTAAGTCGACGGGGTGAAGAACAACAACAACAGCGGCGGTGGCGGCCTCCGCAGCGTCTGTGGTGGCGGCGGCGGTGGTGGTGGAGGAGAAGAACAACAACAACAACATGGAGCAGTGCGTGAACGTGGAGCGGGAGGTGGACCGCGTGCTGCAGAAGTTCTCCGCCTATGGCGAGCACTGCGAGAGAACGCTGGAGAACCTGGCGCAGTACGTGACGGGCATTCGCCAGGAGCTTGCGGGAAGTGAGTGGAGATGTGCAGGCTTCAGACAAGGCCGAACACCCCCCCCCCACCTCCAACACCACCACACACCGGCCTCGTACCCTTGTTGATAATTGTCTTGCCATGCGTGACTGTGGTTTTTGTGTAGTTTTTTTTAGTTTGCTGTGTTGTGTGTGTGTGTTTGTTTTATTTGTATTGTGATGGGTTTGTACAGACCCAGACTAGTAGTGTTGGATTAAAGGCCTATATGTGTGTCCACGCCGTGCTAGTCATGGAGGCGGTTTGCTTGTCCACACTTGAACCACGCGAGTTGGTGAAGTGCTTGGAAGGGTGAGGGTAACGATGATGGCTCGGTTATCACGACTGTGTAGTGTACAGTCCTTGTTCAATCAACTGCTGGATGAAGGCATCCACGCCGTGTGGGTCGTGGGCGATGGGTTAATGTGTCACCGTGCCTTTGAAGGCCGTTACGGGGTTGGTGAAAGCGAAGAGCATAGACGACACCGTACAACCCGTGTTTTTTTTTTGCTACACAGCCCTCTCTGCTACCCACCACGTACATAATTTATAATAAAGTTGTGCTTGCTAGCAAAATGAGAATGTTGATGCTAATAATAGCGAGGATGCTACTAATAGCGTTGAGTGGGTCGTTGCGACTATTCTCCGTCTTGCCCAACAACGATTATATTCAGGATAGTATCATATGTTTGGCTCGTTTGTATTGTTTGTGCTGTCCATTCTTTTCTAGTTTGCGATGTCTTCTGTTTTTTTACAGTCGACTTTCTACCCTCGTCCCCCCACTACCTTTGTACCCTATTGTTTTGTCGTTCTCGCCGTTCTCTTCGCTTTCTTTTATTTTACTGCCAGAACTTTGTCGTCTATACAGAGATTATCTCGGCTGTTGTGTCTTGTCTGTAGTCGATTGTCTGGTCTTCACAAGTCTGTATTGGCAGGTGTTTGTGTCGTCTCTGTACTGTTTACTGTCTCTAATTTGTGCTGTCTTGTTTGATTTAGTGCCAGCACTGTCCCATATTTTCTGTACTGTACTCTCTTTTCTGTAATCTCGCTGTCTCGTCCGTTTCCCACTGTCCCCATTTTACTATCTCTCCTCGTGTATACTATTGTTTAGACTTCCTTGCTGTGACGGTCTTGTCTGAACCCGTGTGTCCAGTGTTTACCATCACTCTACTGTCCCGCCGTTTGAAGTGTCCGTGTGGTACCACGTGGCACGCGAGAAATACCCCCCCAACAAAACACGCGCGTGGAGTCTGTAATTCAATAACGCGTCTAATAAAAGCTGTTGATTCTTAAAATAAAGAGTCAACACAGGAGAGAAAAAAAGTATCGTTGACACACAGCTGGGGTGGGTGGGAGGTCATGTCAATGTCTTGAGACGGTTTTAAGCTTCCCTAATGAGAAGGATGAAACTAAATTGCCGTGCGGGATGCTATGACATAGAACGAGATTGAACTTATTGTACACACCTTTAGAATTACTGCATATGGGAGTGGCGTCACCGCAATGTCATTAATGTGCTAGAATGTAGCATCAGAACCAAACCTGGGGTCAATTGTAAATTACTATTCTACAGCAGTGATCGCTGTTTCGACAAGGCGATGCCATCCCATACGCAGTGTTTAAATGTCTATACAAATAATTCCCCCCCCCCCATATGTAGACTTTATTTAATACGCAATGGCTTGTATTAGATATGTTACTGAATTACAGACCCCACGCGTGTTTTTGTTGGGAAACTCTTTAATCAATGACACTGCCTTCAAAAGAAACATACATTTTGTGGCGTTTTGTGTGCCTTTGCCATAACTTACTGTACGCCTAATTATCCATTTTTCTTTTAAGGCATTGTTATTAAAGTACACGAATTTTTTTTGTTAATTGGGCTTGTGCACAACTGCCAACTCGGCACCACCGAATCTTTTTTTTTTCAAGCGGGCTGTGTGCACTGAACATTCACTCTTAAAAGCACACAGTAAGTGTAGGGATGTCAGTTTTTGCATTGTTAGCCCCAGGTGTTGAAACGTAAGAGTCATGTAGACTTTTGTTGTCAAATTCATGGGCAGTTGTTTACGGAGCTTGTCATCAATAGACAGTCGATCAAAGTAAGTAATACATTGAGGGATGGCAACGGTGGATGGTGTGTGAAGCGAATGTGGAATTAACAACCACAGGCTCAGGGCTGCCAGCTGAGATGGACACAGCCTCAACGCAAAAACGACCAAAGTTATGTTATTATCTGGCTTCCCCAAACCTATCTCCCAATCAATCTCTTCAGTTTGTTGCTTTGGATTTGCTCCCTTTTGAGCAAGTTGACACATTTAAAGATCTAGACATTCTGGACTCGAAACTGTATTTTAAGATCCACATTGTCCACATGGCTAAACAAGATGACAACTCAATTTGATTTCTATACAGAAACATGCTTTATTTCACCTCGATTTTGTATAAATAGCACCATCCTGCCAATATTTGATTATTCAGACACCATCTACCACCTAGCTCCTAAATTTGCCTTAAAACGTCTCATTCTATTATACCATTAACCGAAAGAAGTTCAGCATACATCTAGAATCATACATACGTACATTAATTCAAATCTGTCCCCCATGGATATGCGGACCATCACTGTGCTAGCTTCACCCTTAAAGGTCCTCTTAAACAAATCCACCAGTTTCCTCCAACTTCCTCCTGTAGCCTCGGAAGTGCCTTCTTATATCTACAAAAAATTAAATGTGCTAAAACTTTTATATAAAAAAAAATATTTCCGTGTTTCTGCTCCACGTCTCTGGAATACGCGTGCTGCTCTTTTACAGCGTGGTTCCCTCCTTCCATATTAAAATAAAACGGAGCATACTTGCACCTGTACCTCACTTCTTCTAGCGCCTGTTGCTCCCACATCTTTAATTTGCATGTGTTTGTCACTTGGACTAAAATATAGAGCTTACCTGCACCAGTCCCTAACTTTTGGATTTTACACTTGCACTGTTTTTGACTTTCATATCTTTCGTTTACGATAATTAAATATATTATTTAGTGTGCAGTATTCCTAAAGGACCCGATACTCATTCTCTGCAATCTTACTGTTTTTGTTTTGTTGTTGCTGTGCTCGCACATCATGGATCTCTCCTGTAACATAGCCGGGCAACTGGATAATCAGCGTCATCCATGTGTCGTGAGTCAAACTGAGTCGCAGATGGCATCTTGGGAGCAACACTCTTTATTCCGCAACGGAACACAACATGACACAATCTACACTCGGGTCCCGAATGCCCATCTAACCACGCTACGGCAGAACTAGACATGGTTCGCTATCCCGGCCCTGACCACAAGCTGGGTCCCGGACCGTGTTGCTTGAGGCTTCTTCTCCCCGACGCGGATCTTCTTGACACCAGCACACGAAGAACCTCGAGCTCCTCACGGCCTCCGTTATATCCCCGTGGGCTGGGGCTGGCTCCACCCTTCGCCCCGCCCACCTTCCGGATCTCTCGAGCTCTTTCTCGAAGGCTCCCGAGAGCTCTTTTAGACCACGTGACCACCCAGCGGCCCCCGTCCGCCAGTGGCCCCCCTTCAATATCATCCGGCCACGTGTCAGCAGGTCAACTCAGCGTATCATGCCCCAACGTAACCCTGACTGGCTGACGCTCACTCTCGTTCCCACACCGGGAGCCCGCACCGCACACTGCTCGCGGTGCCTCCGCGCTGACCAGCGCTCACCCAAGCCTCGCTAGTGCTGGTACTACACCCCGTAATCGGGCTGCACATAATGACAACACATTATCCGCCGTGGCTTCGTAAGCCCGGCACCACACAGTGACAATTAGAGTCACTTCACATGTATCAAATAAGATAAACTTAAACCATTGGCTTCATGGAGCGAATAGACATTGTGACTTGTCACAATGGAAAGTATATTTACTCATTGCCAAATAAATAATCCAACGTCAGCCATAATTGCTCTTTCCATTCGAGTGACAACTATAGCTATTGTAGGTTTTCTTAAATTTTCCATAGGTTATAAACATGTCAAGGGAGTGCGTTAGTGAGGAGGGTTTTTTTGTTTAGCATGGTCCTGGCACAAAGGCAGTGGAGTCGTATATTTCTGCCGCTTATTGTGCAGTGCTTGGTGTAAGGAATGTTCATTATTACTGTAATGCGTTGCATACAGGTTACAGCTGTGTGTGCTTTTTGTATACTAGCATATGTTACGTATTTGGCAAATGCGGTTTTTTTCTTCTCTTTGGGGGTTGTGCGTGTTGTGCAACTGGTACGTGGTGATGGAGAGGACCTTGATCTTGTTCAGTGGATTCAAATGTAGTCCTGTGCAATTTTTTTGTTCACAAGTATACATACCTCCTATGAAAGTATATTTTTACTGAAAGTGATGGTATTGCCAGCATCAGCTTATTGAAGTGGTGGTCGTATATTTTGCCCTCTAAATTACAGATGATCTGTGTGAAAATCAAAAATTAAGATAATAGGTTTTTCCCCTTTTTTACTGGCAACAAAACAGGCGTTAAGATGTTAAAACACCAAACTAAAACCTTCCACAAGGAATCATGTCTGCATTAACCACAATGATTGTGGTCAAAGTGCAAAAAAAACACTGAATATATGCATTGTCCTTGAAACTGATTGGTCTACACCAGAGACAGCTTTCTTTGTCTCAGATGGTGTTAGACCAGAGGACGCCAATTAACTTCATCACTAATCACATACATTTTTCTGAAGCCTCATGTTAAACTGGTCAGTACAATATTATGATAATATACAATCTTGAAGTATGTTGTTGATCTGTGGCGACAAGTGGTTTTCGTTTTTTTTGCAGCGTGTTATACTGACATCACAGTCCGTTTGAGCTTCTTAGACCAAGAATATATAATTGTGTTCATACATTGACTTTTTTTTCCCCCGAGCATTGTACAGCACAATGTGCAAAGCGGTCTGACTGGTTGTCCACGTTTCTCCCCCTCTTTGTGAAAGTGGGCGATGAGGCGGAGCTGAGTGCCACCCATGCCCTGGTGCTGTCCCACTGCTGCAAGAAGATCCGTGACACGGTGCAGAAGCTGGCGTCCGATCACAAGGACATCCATGGCAGTGTCTCCAAAGTGGGGAAAGCCATTGACAGGGTAAGGGCCAAGCTTATGATGGGGTTTAATCCGTGTCCAGCGCAAGCTGTGAAATGACATTGTCAAGTTGACTTTAATACACCGCAGCACGTTTAGTTGACTTTTTTTTTCCGAGAATTTTTTTGTCCACTCGTGTAATGCTCTGTTTTTTTAAATCATAGTTGCTGAGCACAAGCCCAAAGGCCCCGAAACGCCAAACGGCTAAAAACTAACGGCGCGTGTAATAGATATTAGTTAACTCTGGAACGGAGCGATGGGAGGGAATTACAAAGACAAGCAGTGTGAGGAAAGAAGCGGACATATAAGTGTTTGACCCATACCTGCAATATGGTAGTTGAACACAATAAGTCCGATGGGCTGAATCCTGTAATGGTGTGTTTCTATATTTTTGTGAGTCGGCTTTGCTTGGAGTTGATTAATCAAATCCTATAAATGTTCAGTAAACTCATGAACTGTCTAGATGTCCCATATGCTCCAAATGGGCATTAAATGCCCTATGAGACATTTGTAAAATAAACTCCTTGTGGTCCAGTTTTGTAGATCAATTATACAGTTTACCTCCAAAGAACATGAAAAATACATGTATTAATTGCCTCTCATTTCCTTGTATAATTATGTACTGACCGTTGTCAGTCCACTGTGGCATGAAGGCCTTCCCCATACCATAACAACCATTGGGGTTATTTGACTATACACCACGCTCATCAGTGTGAGTTACTTAATTTAGGGGGATGCCCAGGACTGGCTCGGATATCACTCGCTGATGATATAACTCGTTCGTGATATTAGCCATGGTCAGGAAGCAAACTCTGTACCCGGGCTTGTAGCAGTGGCACAGTGGTGATAACAATGATATCTAATCCTCTTTAACCTGTTTGCATTTTAACTCTTTGCGTTTTAATATTCAAAGTGCTCAAACAGCCACCTCTGTATTCATATACTTCTAAAAGTGTTCAACTATTAATGCCCGAACACAACTGTTGCATACAAGAATTGGATCACCGTGTGCACTCAATAGTCTTGAGTGCTTTGTGAGACGCGTCATTCGAACGTCGTCTTCTAGCTAGTCCCTTGGTCGTTTGGGGGTCATTGGAGCATGAACATTTTCTGGTCAATGCCGCCCTTGTAGAACTTTGAACCCGACATCAGCAGCGTGGCGGTGGATGGGGTGTTCAGCACGCCCGAGAGACAGCAACTTCTCAACGATGTGATCGTGGAGCACCTGTTCAGGCAGGGCATGCTGGATGTTGGCGAGCAGCTCTGTCAGGTAAGGCATGTCGTGTTCTCTCTTTCTCTCTTCCCCCAATCCCAAGACGTTAGGCCCAAGCTGTGTGCCCATATACTTGTGTAACAGTTACCCAGCATAGACATGTTCACCCTGTCTTATCAGTCCACTGCAGGATGAGGGCCTCCCCACACCCACCTTGTGGGGCTGTGGGGGGGGATACTCAATTGTACTTCACCACGATGGTTATGGTGTGGGTTGGTGAGGATGCTGGGGGCGGGGGTGGGGAATGCTGAGAAATCCGTTTTTCAGGGCTGCACATTCAACCTAGACTGGGTAAGTGAGCAGTTAAAATTCATTGGCATTCAGGAGATGAATGCCAGTGTCGAGGTCTGCTGCTTGCCACAACAAGAGGGTTTCAGATGTGAGCAGTGTGTCAAGTGCATGTACGAGTCGCTCTGATTAAGCCATTTCGTATGCATCTCAATGCCACCGACATAGTTTTTTGTACCTGTTGCAATGACTTAGGGGCGTTTTGCTGAAATCTGTTAAGAGCGCCGCTCTGTATGGTCAGCAATGGTCATCCTGTCAGTGGACTCGCCCGCACCACGTGAATGTGGGATTTCCTGTCATATGGCATCAACTGCCTTTCCACATCATTGTGTATATGTGTAAGTCTTATGTACAAGTCTTAATGGCTAACATGAAAGGTCTCGTGGCTCGAAAAGCTCCAGCATAGTCTTGCGTGCGCATCACTTGATCATGTGTGCATTTTTGTGGCGTTCATTTCCTTTCCTCATGTGTTTGTAAGAATGCGTGTTTGTACATTGCGCTCACGTGTACTTGGCGTATAGGAATACAATGCTCTATTTCAGGCAAAGCGTCTCCCTAATTGTGAGCAATGTAGTGACTGTAATTTCTGTCGCCCCTGGTGGAAAGTTCACATTCTTGTGGGTGTGGGCCAGTCTTTTGACAGGATGACCAATTCTCCGAAATATACTAAAGCGGTATTCTTTTTTTAATTAACCTTGGAACAGTGACGAGCTGACCTTATACCTTTGACCATACTTGAGACAGGGCAGTATATGCAACCTTCATCCAGCAGTGTATTGACCATGGCTCATGATAATGAGTATATACATGATTGTGGTATGTTATAAATAACATGGTATTTCGTAAGCAATGTATAAAAGTGTAGTAAACATTGTCGAATGTGTGTTCTTGTACAGTGATTGCACAGTCGTGTTTTGAAAATATTGCCTGTGAGACGTCGCGTCGAAATTAAGCACTTGTAAACAATGTGCGGATGCTTGTGTGTGCTTGTGTGTGAGTAGGAAGCTGGGCTACCTCTTGACCAGAACCAGAAGGAGCCATTTATTGAGCTCAATAGGATCCTGGAGGCCCTGAAGATGCACGACCTTCGACCTGCCCTGGCGTATGTATTGACAATATCCGTGACAATGATAATTTATAGTCATTGATCAACTAATCAAGCTGGCCGTAGGTAATGAGCTCCTAACCTGTGAAGGGAGATGACGGGGACTCCGGCATGTCAGGGTTGCTTTCGAGGCAACTTGGTTGTGGGGTGCAGTGATGACAAATTAATTTGTCTGGGAGAGAGCGTGGCCTCTGATGCCCTTTTGGACGTCCATCCCCCTCCTTCCCCTTCACGAATCATATTGGTAACGTACTCGTGCTAGCCACCAAACATAGACGGCCACTGCATCGCGCGCTTTCAGATGCGCTGGAATGCTCTTCCGATATTATCAAGTACTGTAGCTATGCACTTTTAAATCTCGATTGAAAACTAATTTCTTTAGATATGCTGTTTGTGTTTAGTTTTTTTGTTCTTCCCCTGCACCTCTGATTAATTATCACGGTTGGCTACGAATGGTGCAAAAGAAATTCAACATGTATACATACCCTGGTAATATCACTCAAGGACACAATGGTGGTGTGGCTGAAATGTCTGTTTTCATATTGAAAAGTTATGTTTTCTCTTTCCAAGAAGCGTCACTTCCATCACACAACTAGTGGCACACAGCCTAGGCATGGACCTAGAACATAGGAGCTACGTGTTGTTTGTTTGAGTGATCTTATTCATAGCCCTTGTTGAGTTGTATATGTTCTGTGGCCGATTATTTAACAGTAAGAAAAGTTTCCTGAAGATGTGAGATCACTTTGTGGTGGTAGGCCATTGTGAATTTATGTCATGACCGAATTGGTAACTACAGTACTCTAAATACATATTTGCATAACATATCTATTTATATGCCGGCTTTAGACAGATTAATGGCTGGATCTTGAGTAACAGGAATCGCTTGCAGATAATGTAGGAGACGATGCCAACTAAACACTTAAGGTTGTTGTTAAAGCTTTACAGTGTTGTACCTAAGAGCTTAGTAGACTCATATTTTTTTTTTATCTTATAAGTTACGTAAAAAAATGAAATACTAATAAGTCCTTGTAACAATTGTTTTGTGAATATGCTAAGTGGACTGACTACCAGTTTAGTTTTATACTTTAAAAAATTAATCAGCAGGAGGAGCATTTGGAGAAAGGTTTGAATACTTTTTATTAAAATATAAATTCAAAGTTTCCATTTGCACCAAAAAGGCAAATGTGGAAAAGTTGATGTATACTTTTTTTACATATCACAGAGCATAGATATAAAATAACCTTTATGTGCTAAAGTTACTAATGGGATCTTCAGTAAGAATTTGTATGTCATTAGCACTTAAATGCCATGGAATTTTAACGAGCCTTATACGACAAAGTGACAACCGTGATGTAAATGGGGAGAAAAAGACGGACGTAAAAAAAGGAGACCTCTCAGACGGTGGGGTAAATGATAACCTCCACACGCATCCCCGAGTGCTGCAGACACCAAAACCCACGTTATCAGGAGAGGCCCAGAGAAAATCCATAAATGTGATGGAACAAGAGGCCAACCAAGCCCTCCGTCTCAACAAATAAGCATTGAATAGCAAAACTGCAATCTTGTCTTCATCCAATTTAAAAGTTAGGTCCATTTCATGGAAAGATATAATTTACCCTTTAGAACTGCTAATAGAGATGAGCATAAACCCCCACACTGCTTTCTTGAGACGAGAAATACAGTAACTCTTTTAGTTGAGACATGTGTGACACTTTCGTCGACACAAGTCGCTCAAGAGCTGGAATAAACTGAATGCAGTCCAGCACGAAAATTAGAATTTCTTTGCCCCATTATAGGTAACAGATGCCATATCAAAACCTGGCATACAAAATATCCTGCGACACCTCTCGTGGATATACCTAGGCTTTGAATGAGGCTATTAGTGTTCCTGGCTTAGTGCTCCAACCGAGGCCATCTGCTGAATCACTCGCCACACCTCACTTAAATTTCAGGACGTTCATATGTTCTTATTAACCCTTTCCCATACTGAGACGACTACGAGTTGCTAGGTGGGTGTCCCGCTCACCGCTGAATCTCGGAACGCGCAAGGCGTTCAGCGTTAATTTTATTTAGAGATGCATGGCGATGTTGTTTTTAAAGACTTTGTACTCACCATAGAAAACGTAGCGACACGACCACAATCTACAATAGCTGGCGCCAAACTGCCACGCCCTCCCGCATGGCCTTGTGTGAGCCTCGGCACCGATAAAGTAATTTTTTTTATTTTCTTCTGGTTCGTGACGTACGTATACGTCGTCGGAACAATCGGAAGAGCAACTGATGACACACACATACGTTATCTGAACGGGAGAAAGGGTTAACTTTAGTATTTTTCACCAGATGGGCTGTGTCGAACCGCGAGCGCTTGCTCGCGCAGAACAGCTCACTGGAGTTCAAGCTACATCGTCTCTACTTCATCCAACTGCTGTCGGGCGGTGGAACCAAGCAGCGGGAGGCATTGGAGTACGCACGCAATTTTCAGCCGTTTGCCAGCCAGCACCAAAAAGGTATGTGTGTTTGCGTGTACGTGTGGTGAGCGGAGCGCCGGGCAGCTAAAACGCAGAGTGTTGGCACAGTGGGGGAGCACAGTTGGTATATCTGTTGGTCATTTCAGTTGGGTCAACCCATGGCACCTGGGTCTGTTCCGTGACCTGCCAGCGAGCCTCGACACTTTACGTGGCCTCAAAGTGCACAAGCGCCGACGTGACATCACCACCACTTAGTGGTGAACGACGGTTGTTGTTGTTGAGTGATAGCGTAGCAGTAGACTCACTGCGGTACTCAACCTGGCAATCTCGATTCTATTCATGGCCATGACCAACATCAGTGATGAATATCTGAACTGGCTCTAGGTCTTCTCTTGTTCGAATCTAAATCTCTGTCTCGTGAAAACCTGCCTACCTGCAGTGATGTGAGCAGAAATTTCAGGGCTGCAGACATTCCAGGGCTGCGCCTTGATCTTTTTATAAGTTCAGATAGTATTTTATTGTATATAACAGGGGTCCCCAACCCCTGGGCCGTGGACCGGTACCGGTCCGTGGCCTGTTAGGAACCGGGCTGCACAGCAGCAGGAGGTGAGCGGTGAGTCCGCGTGTGGCCCGCCCCCATTATTTTATTATTGACCACTTCCGCCCGCGCCTCTTTCCCGCACTGCGCACTCGTCTCAGTCACAGTGTTGGTAAGCCCACAAGCTGTAACCCCTAGTAGCCAACATGAGTAGAAAACAAACGTCACTAGAGAGCTTCTTTGAAAAGGGGGAAAGACCCAATGATGAACCCCCCCCCCCCCCCGGTCCGTAAAAAAATTGTCTTCCACGAAACTGGTCCCTGGTGCCAAAAAGGTTGGGGACTGCTGGACTATATAACATGTGAATAGGGTTGTACACATCTGTGTAGGCATTCATGAGCCATTACTGCATATTCCACATCGCTGTGGTGGGGATCAGATACTGTACTCGGTTTCAATGCATTGCAAAGAATGGTCCACCCATACACAGTGGCTCGTTGTGCTTTGGTATCGGTGCCCTTTGCAGTACTGATTTGATGAAGGTGTTGTGTTAAGAGCAAAGTTGAATTGTCTCTAGAAAGTTCTTTCATCTTCCTATTTGCTTGCAGATATCCAGGTGCTCATGGGCAGCCTCATGTACCTGCGCCAGGGCATCGAGCATTCGCCCTACACTCACCTGCTGGACACAAATCAGTGGGCGGAGATCTGCGACCTGTTCACCCGCGATGCCTGTGCTCTGCTCGGGCTATCTGTTGAGTCGCCGCTCAGTGTCAGGTACAGTTAACACCCCTGAATGTTGCACTACTCCCGTGAAGAATGTGGTTTGTATCTATTAGCATAGGCATTGGCGATTCATAATGATCTTATCAGGAGTGTGATTTGTGACTACGCAACTGAAACTGAACGTTTATGGTAAACCCTCTCCTGAATCACTCTCGTAGCTAGCAGACCTCGACATTGGCATTTAGCTCTGGAACAAGAATAGTCCGGTCAAATGAACGTTGAATGTGTTCCTCCATTGGCGGTTCTTAGTTGGTGGAACTTCCACTGTTATCCACTGATTGGGATTGAACATGCAACCTTCTGATTGCATGTGAAGCACTAACTGTAATGCCATCGCGTAGTGGTGTGTAGTGGTGCACTTGTAACAAATCCAGTGCTTTGCCGGAAAGGGTAAAACTCTTCTTATTTTTTAATACTTTGATACTCGGGAAAAAATCCCATTTTGTAGCTGCTCACTCCGAGTTTTAAATTATCTGATAGTGTATTGTCTTTGTACTTCTCCTATTGGCGTTCTCTGGTCTGACACTGGTGAGACTAGGCCCTAAAGAAGGCTGTCTGGTGTAGGCCCATCAGTTTCAAAGACAATGCATATATTATCAAAGCATGTTTGTTTGCATGTTCACCACAAGTGCGTGTGGTTAATGCGAACTTGATTCCTTGTTAAAGGTTTCTGTTTGGTGTTTGAACATCTGACCACCTGTTTTATTGCCAGAAAGGGTAAACCCTATTTTTATTTTTTCGGAGGTCATCACCACTCCATTGCTCATTTAAGTGAAATATGTAACAGGTGAATTACAATGTGAGATGAAATGAAAAATGAAATAGGATAGCACGGTGATTATGCATCCACAACTGGATCAGCCGTTCCATTGTTGCAGCCTGCATCTTAATGTCTACAAATTATTAGCCAATGGTGCTCCCTGCAGTAACGTTGTCAATTAGCACGGTTGGCTACTTGCGGTGCGAAAAGTTCACCGCACATACAGTGCCAATTAAAAGTGTCGTAGCATTTGCAAAAAGTGGCTTCTTTGTGCCAACAATAGCTTTGGCCACATTTCAAAATTAGAAAATCACCAATGGCTGTATTATAAACTAAACCTGCACTCTTTCGTATCGACAGTTCCCTTGGGTCCCTTCTGCAAATGCGTGTGACGGAACTCCGAAATGACGGTCGGTAATTAAAATATCAATAAATATTGTGTTAACGGAGATTGCTTTGCTTTCCACCATTGAATGTTGTTTATTTGCTCCCTTGCAGTTTTTCCGCTGGCTGCATTGCCCTGCCGTCCCTCATCAACATCAAGGCGGTGATCGAGCAGAGGCAGTGCACGGGCGTATGGAATCAAAAGGATGAACTGCCGGTAGGGGGCATGTTAGGACTGCGTGCGTCATACGTGCGAGGAGTCGGTCAGTTGTTTCTCACTGCAAAGGCATGCGGACAGTAGGGTTTACCCACTCGCAGGGAGTTCATCCAACCTCTATCATCATTTCTCAGTTTTCATCTTGGTTTTTCGTGACGCTGGTGTAGATTGTGTGCGAATATTAGTCTGCGCCAGATTTGATAGAAGCTTGATTGCAGTTTTAATGTTTTCAGAGTCTGCTGGCTTGAGTGATGTGAATGGAAGTACACTTCAGTAAGAACATATTAATCATTTCCCGTTCTGAGACGTCTGCAAGTTGCAGGGTGGGTCGTGTTCGCCGCTGAATCTCGGAGCATGCAAGCAGTTATTAATTTTCTTTAGAGACGCGAAGCGCTGCTGTTTTTTGAATATATTGTACTCACTGCAGAGAACTGTGGCAACACGACCGCACTTTATGATAGCTGGCACCAAACTGTGCCACACGCCCTCCCACGCATGACCTTTTACTTCCGATTCCGTTCTGATAACGTACACATCCTGTGCAGACACTTGGGCTTCCACTGTCGAAATGTGGAAATTTATTCCGCTGATTCAGGGCTGCTAACCCCTTGCCTATTTAAAAAAAAAAGAGGCACTGCCCTTTTTAAATCCTTTATATTAAGTTCGCTTGCTTGCTTACGACCGTGCAAATCTTTCGGTCGTTTTTTAACCCACTTCCCGTGATCCAATCGAGCTGACATTTTCCACACAGACTCGTGCGTGACAATTAATGTTAGTGAAATTTTTTTCCAAAATTTGACACTTTTTAGGACAAAAATATATTTAATTACCAATTGCTTAATGGTGCAATGCAATCATCTGACCCATAGGTGGCAGCCATCTCAAGCCAGAGGACGAGAGGACTCTAGCCGCCACGCATATAAAGGATTTATAGTGAAAAACTTTTTTTTACGGGTTATACTTGTTTTAGGAGTCTGTTTTAGTTTAATAGGTAAGGGTTTTTCATCTTACATTGTGCACATGCATGTGGTTTTTACTCTGTTGCAAAGCTATAATTGCCCTAACCTGTTAATTTCCCATTACATCGTGTGATACTGCAGAAAGTAAAATGCATTACCCGCCCCACATGTTTTTTAATGGAAATCTGATCTCACGCGCACACTCCCACCAGATAACACGCTCCCCCCAACTTTTGATCTAACCTACAAGGAAAAAAGTTCCATAATCCTGAGAATATGGTATCACTAAATATCTAATCAGCACAAGTGATCATTTATTCATTTGCATTTTGATCGGTAATATTAAATATATTTTTTTTTCCCCAAAAAACTTTAACTTTGCCCGCAATTTTTATGTTCGTGTAATTGGATCCTTGCTAAAAATATATTCGTCAAAGCCCCCTGAGTGTTAGGTCCAAGTGATGGGTGACCAAACTTCCTGACCCGATTAGCCGTATGCCAGCATCTGTAATTTGGCGTTGAGTCACAAGACACACGATGACTTTTCTCCAGCGTTTTCCAGCACAGCCAGTTCGCCGCTCACGCTTGCTTGCTAGCCGGCCAGACGGCCGTAGAGTTTTTAAATGAGAAGTTAGAATTCTGTGGCGAGGTGTAGTTAACATCTCGCCGCCGTGAGACACGAAGCTGAGGTTTTGCCACCCCCGGTCTAATTAATATTTTTTTAAATGCTGTGTTTGTCCACTGTGTTCGCCAGGGGGCGCTTAAACTCGCCAAAACTACCTGACTTCACCCAGTCCGCTGTACAATCTGGTTGGATTAAGAAAGCGTCGATACATTGACACTTTTGACACCTCCATTACTGCCCCACAATAAGGATATTATTTTCAGCAGTGCACGTGAAATTTGATTGAAACCTGACCATTACTGGTCTGGTGGTCTTCTAATGTCAGTCCAATCAGTATTGTGATTTGTATGTGAATTGTGTGCTGTCAAAGCAGTGAAAAGCATTAAGCGGTGTTAATGTGGAGACCAGTTCCGGAGTTGTTTGGAACTCTGCTGTACTTAATGTATGTGGGATGTTCCAGTTGGTTAGCATGCTTGTCGCTAAGCCAATTGGCAACACATTTACAGTCATATCTGACTGCCAGTGTTGTATGATTTTCTTAACACATGTTGCAGAAGTTAACACCCTTGGTATGTAATTTACAAGATTAAGTAATTCGGTAACACCGTTGCGTACTCTTATCACCCGTTAAAATGTTTAACAGTGCAAAAGTTAATCTTGCATTCATCTTGTTGTTATGTCTGCCTTGTAAAATAGATGCTGTATTTCAATCCTCTAACACTTTGTAATAAATTGGGAGCTTTAATTGAAAAGTCCTTCAAGTCACCATTGATTTAAGTCAGGCATTCTTCATATAAAACACTATTGTCCATGCTGGTTAATAAACATTAATTTACATACTTTTTTTAGTTTTATAAGGTTCATGTTAAACACCATCTGTGCCAAAACCAATATATATTTTAAATATATCAATAGTCTGTGTAGAAGAAATTGTGGCACAGTGGTTGGTGCACTGTGCTGTAAATGTCAGTGTCCTGGTATCAATTCCCAGCCAGGTACGTCAGTGGTGAGTAGCTTTTAAACCTGGCCAGAGCCTTCCCCTAAAACCACTCCGTTTTAAATGTGTCCTTGGCAAGATGTATACATGCCGTGAGCTGGCCGAACACGGTGCTGGCCACACCGTCGCCAGGTCAAGTGTCATGCCAGACTCATGTGCTCGCTGTCAGCACGGGTCACCCACTGGATGTGGCTTCTCCACATAATGGTGTTAATCCAATCTTCTGTGCAGTGCCTACCCCAGTGTTGTGCTACTGCTGCCTGCCCGTCTGTGGCGTGCCTCGCCCAGTGTTGTGCTGCTCCCCGACTGTGGCGTGCCTAGCCCAGTGTTGTTAAAACCATGCCTCGACGCATTTGTTTTACCTATCGGTTCTCTCAATTAGCTCCATTGCCTCTTAGTTTTACCTCCCCTTGGCCCAACGGTCTATCCGTTTGTTAATTTTCGTGATGATCATAGTCTTGAATGTAGAAAATGCAGTCTATCAATGTAATATGTTCTCATCAAGTTTAAGTGTTGATGCTGGAGAATTTTGACTTGTGGTTCTTTGTAGTGTGGGGGGCTGTAGTGCAACTATTAGCACGCTACGCTATGAACCCGGCGATCCGAGCTCGATTCACGCTCACTGTCAACACCAGTGACGATTATCTGAACCGGTTCTGGGCCTCCCCTAGGTCCACTTAGCCTTAAATGAGTACCTGATACAATGTGTAAATGTTGCCACTGGAGACAAAAGCGGCCGGGCGTGGTGCTGGCCACCCACCCCCTTGTGTGATGTGCTGGCCTTCATATGTGCTGCTCGCTTAACAGCACTTGCCCCAACAGTCTATTAAGGCTATAGCGGGGGGTCTATGTGTTTGTGTGTGTTCGTCTGTAGATCGAGATCGATCTGGGCAAGGGCTGCTGGTACCACTCGGTGTTCGCCTGCCCAATCCTCCGACAGCAGACGACGGAATCGAACCCGCCGATGCGCCTCGTGTGCGGCCACGTCATCTCGCGAGACGCCCTCAACAAGCTCGTCAACGGAAACAAGTGTGTGCTTGAGCCGGGGAACAAGTAATCGGAGTCTGGAGGATCTGCGTTCGCAACGATCCATGGCATTGTCACAGCAGCCTTAGCAACTCGGGAACTTGTATCACCTACAAGGGGCGCCGTGGTGGCGAGATGTTAACTACCTCGCCTGGTATACAGGAGGTCGTGAGTGCGATCCCGACCCTGAAGCCTGCTGTATAATTGGAGTTTGCATATTATCCCCGTGGTCGCGTGAATTTTTCTCCGGGTCCTTTGGTTTCTCCCTCCACATTGAGACTCAAGATGCACTCAGAGTATTTGTCTCCTGCTATAAATTCCCACGTGATAAGCCACTTCATTGAGTTTTCATTTGTGGCCAGGTCGCTTATGAAAAAAAGCTACATAGCCCAATGCGGCTTTACTGGTAAAAGAAAAATAGTTTATAGGTTACATCCATTATAACAGCGTACGATAGGCAACTGTTTACAACCACCGTTGCGTGGATAGCGATGCGTATAGCCATGGTGATGCCGGCAGGGGCTGGTACAAGTTGTAATGTGTAATTGGATTGAGATGTGCGGGGGTTATCAGCCAATCCCCCCCCCCCCCCGCCGTGCCACCTGACCGTTAGCGATGTGGTGTTTCAAGACAAGCACCCTCTCATTTAGCGAGGTGATGGCTAATGTGGTAAATCCCCAATTACGTTCCAATCGAAAGTTAAACAAAGTGTGCTTTCCCTAAGCCAGGCAGTTGAGTTTTGTGTCGCGTTTCCCGGAATTGCTTTGGAAGTTCAACCGCTTCTTCTCCTCCTTAAATTGACTCTGTTGGTTTTGCTGTCTGTCTTTGCATTGCGCAGTAATACAATTGTGCCATTTACAATCAATTACGGCTCAATGAGGTGGAATCAAAATTAGTCGACGGTGTTTTTGAGCAGCCCATTGGTGACTGTGCTCCGAGTACGAAATAACCACAAGTGAGAACCTGATTATATCAAGTGGAGCAGTCGACGATCTCCACCTCTCTCTGTGGTGTCGGGTTGGTAAACTGTTTTCCTTCATCAGTGGCTTGTCACAAGTCTAGTGTTTACGTGGCCTTTTCAGCATATAATGACCATTTACTGCATGATGAAAACCTGTTCAAATAATATTGGTTTGGTACTTAGTTTAGTTCAACTTGGCAATAAGGGTTATCTCTACATGTGTTTCATTATTCCGTTGTATGTGCGTGTGCCAATTTGAACAAACTTACGCGAATCCCAAAATCTCGGAAGTCTCACTGTGCTTGTGGCACCAATTCACTGTGCTTGTGCAGCATCGCCAAATAATCTGTTTATACAATCCACATTTTGACCAATGGATATTGCACCGATGTAGACTGCAACATTCAAACCCTGTACCCTAAAGCACTTGTGCGTTGCAAAATTAAAAAAAAAGTATTACTGGTATTAACTAGGACCATTTGTCACCCTGGAAACATGTTGCCTAGGGAACAGCTTCCATAGAAACGGCTGGCTTAGAAAGTCAGCAGGGAGCCTGGTGGAGAGATACTGGTCAGCGAGTGGGTCCTCTGCATGAGAGGCTGTGGCCAGTACGGGCATGCCTCTGAGTAGGATAGGGCTAACATATTCCTGTGGAGGGAGCTGGTAGGAACGTTGGGTTGCTCGGTCAATGGCCAGGGTCAACGGCGGCGTGGTGTATTCCGCAAATATGCCCGACTGTGAGGGCGGGCACAAGCCGGCGTAAGTAAGTTAAACGTTGAGTTTTATAAGGGCACCACGGAGTGACCAGCCCCTCCCCACCCAGCCCCACCCCTCCCTAGGTCGACTCAGCCTCAAACGAGTAACTGGTGTGGTGTGTGTGTGAACATCGCCACTGGGGAGACAAAGGTGGCCGGGCGTGGTGAAGCCAAGTCTCGGGCGGAGCCCAGTAGTAAAGCTAGTCGTGCATAACCTGTTGCGAAGTTGTATGAAGGGGAAATAATAAAGTGCGGTGGGAATACTCCTTAGCATTGTTTCAGTGATCATTTGTGCCGTATCCATTCCCTAATAGTCAAGCTGTGGCTGTCGTATATGCGGCTCGTGAATGAAACTTTTCAGGTAATTTTTCTTGTGTGGATGTGCTGGTTTTGTATTAAACATGGCTGTAAGGTACAGAGGGAGCACATCTTTACCCTGCCTCAATGCGAATAATTTAGAAAAAAATTATTTTCATATTAAAATCGCGTAGGATAAATTTTTTTTATACAGCATTCATGCAACCATTGTACTTGCAAAACCACAAGTATTACCGTGTCCTTGATACAAACATTCCATGCAGATGCTCGTATTTATTTGGTGGTTATTTTACCTCATTTCGTGTTTTCCCCCCCTTTTCTTCCAACAGGCTTAAATGTCCCTACTGCCCCATGGAGCAAGCTCCCAGCGACGCCAAGCAGATCTTCTTCTAGGAAGACTGCACGTGCACCAGAATACGTCATCTTGTTGGTTTGGGCACGTCCTCTTCATAGGCCGCGCTCGCCCAAGAAGGGAGGGAGGGAGGGGGGGGGGGAGTCCCATTTTAAAATCCACGCGTCGGACTAAACGTCGCACCGCCACGTTTGTCATCACGTGCCGCTCCCACGTAACGATTGTCCATGTCCCCGTCGCGCTATGCCCGACCGTTGATTTTTTTGTTTGTTTTGCACACGGGGGTGGGGGGGGGGGTATTTGTGAGCGCGCAAGTTTTTTTCCGAATGAACGCGACGCACATAGCAGAGGGCAAAAAGTAATGCTATTGCGAGAGAAGCTCCTGGGCACGTGGAGCGAAACGTCGGACGTCGTCCCGGGCAACGCGCGGGTACCAACCCGAATACGCATCCTGAGAAGACCCAAGTGGTAACCTTTTTTTTAAGCGATGCACTCGGTCATCTCGGGGTACCGCTCCATAATCGCAACTGGTCATTGTATGATTGGCTGCATTGTAATTGCTTGAGGTCATGTGCTCCTCTGAAGAGGCTGGAGGATGGGCGGCGAGTATACATTAAGTTTAGCTTTATTTGGTTCTGCTGTTGCATTCGAGTATTACTAGAATAGTAACACGAGGTTATTTATTATGTATTTGTAAAGAAATGAAGCAACATAACTTAAACACGCATACACCTTTTGTGATTGAAAGAGTAGAGTTTTATATAGTTTTTTTTTATTTTTACGATTGGGTCTCCGAAAGTGATTGGTTGAAAGTGGTGTATTGAGATTTGATGGTGCTTTGTTGTGCATGCATTAATTTTCTATTATTTCCACTTAATTAAAATGATAATAGATACATTTTCAGGATAAAAAGTCAGCTTTTGTTTTGGAAATCGTAGACCTTTTACAATAAACACTTGCTTCAAACTTTCTCCCAAGTGACGGTGTCTTGACAAATGTGCTTGGGGTTCGTGCTTTACATCGTTAATACGACAAGTTCATGGCATAACTGAGAATTTCCAGAGTTATATATTGAGTTTAACACAGGGTTTCACGACCAATATCCATAATAGAGTTTTTTTTGTTAATGTTGTGGCTTGGCTCTCCAACACACCGGTGTGCTGTACTAGTGACGAATTGGCCACATTATCTTTGCGTGACAACCCTTACTAGTTGGCCGTGTCGGGTGGTGGCGGGTTTTAACGACATTTACGCGATTTAACCCAAACAACCTCTTAGTTTTCGTGGAAGGCAAAGGCATGGCTGCTTTTTTAAAGCTTTCTCTTTTCAGTTTCTCAGCAGAAAAAAACACTTTGTGCTGAAACCAGTGCTGTAATCATCAACTGCTGTTTCGTCCAACTTTCAGTGATACTCCATAAAAGAAAAACCTCACTGGCTCACAACCTTACACCCTACCAAACACATTGACCTCATCACTCTATGCCAATATAATATCTGAAGAAAAAAAACACGAACCCTTGGATGTTGTGGGGTTGGAGGCCGAGGTTCTGCTAATGTTACGAAACAAGTGTTATGTCTTCACATTCAGTGTAAAACTTTCTAATTATTTTTGCTCATCCAATAACACCACTTCCACTGGAAATAGCCCAACTTAAAAAAATACCTTTTCAACAATCTGCTGGTATTTTCGGGAACCTATGTTTTTTTTTCATTCGGCGTGGTCATGCTGTTTTTAGTTGGATACTACATACATCAAGTGCTGCATGCAACTTTCAGGCTTTGCTCAAGAAGGGACAGTTTGTGTGCTTGCCAATATCACTTTGCTGGGTAAAAATATTTGGCCCAAGTTTATTTGTTCTCATGAAATGTTGCATCGAAAGCAGAATTCGGCCCCTGAAGTGTATTTGCTTCAGATGCTGTGTACACCATGCACATCCCTACCTTCCCATGTGGAAACAAAGCAAATGCATTTCCAATTTCATTGAAAGTACACCCCCAATCTTCTTTCTCAACGTATGGATGTAAGAAGCTGTAATGTTGTAAAACTACTCCGTGCCATATCTAAATGTAAGCTTGCATGCAATGGCTGAATCTTCCCGGTGTAGAATGTAAGGAACTAATTGAACATGACCTTCATTTATCATCTTATGTTTTTTCTCTCTGTAGATATAAAGACTGAAAATAAAGTTTTGTCTGATAAGGATGAATGTGACCTCTTCAATTGCAGATATTAGCTTTGGGCATTCCGTTTGCAGGCTTGAAGCCATTATTAAACCTTCACTGTTGACACAACGTATGACATGTCTTCAGGTTTCTTGCTTCGCCACGAGAGACGTGTGATGGGGTTAGCGCGTTGCGCTACAAACCCGGCGAGCCGAGTTCGATTCCCGCTCACGGTCAACACCGATCCTGGTCCTCCCCTAGATCGACTCTGCCACCTTGTGTGGTGTGTAAACATCGCCACTAGGGAGACAAAGGCGGCCGGGCGTGGTGCTGGCCACCCACTCCCTCGTGTGCCGTGCCGTCCTTCATAGGTGCTCGCTCACAGCGCTTGCCCAAACAGACTGTTGAGGCTATATGGGGTGTCTGTCTTTGGGGTGGGATGGAATAATTTGGAAGTTTGAGAGGATTTCCTGTCATGTTCAACTTAAGTGGAAACGGATGCTGTGATTGCCATATGTCCAAACTTTGTAGCCTGAAACATAAAAAAAACTGAATACGAAACGATCTCAATGTTATTCATTCTATTGTATATGCTCCCATATTGACCATAATTTGCACTCCTTGCTCGAGTGTGACCGCACGTGTTTTTGAGATATTGTACTAAAAACGGATATGCTTCGGTATGTCTGTCATTGTTATCCGCTTTCTTGACTTGCTAAATATTACCGATTGTGAGTGGATTGATATAAAATGTTAACTTTTGGTAGTATATTTTTTTACCAATATCGAAATATGATTAATTGTAATGGCCAGGTGGTGTAATTGGTCGAGCAATGGAATCAAGTCAGAAGGTGGTTACAAGTTAAAATCCCATTTGTGGAATAACCATGATTTAGATCGTAGCAGCTCATTGGCCCTTCCTGCTGATCATCTCTCTATTTGGTGTTTGAACATGTTAACTGTTTTATTGCCAGAAAAGGTAACACCTATGATTATGTTTCATACTTTGATACTGGAATGTAAGGTCCCATGGTACAGTTGCTTACCCAGAGTTCTTCATTCTCTGATACTTGCATTGTTTGTGTACTGTTCGATTCACCTTGGTTCTTTCGGTAAAGTCACGTAGAAGGGAAATAATACAATAATAAAAATCATGCAATATTTTATTATTTTATTATGTTTTATTTGTATTATTTTATTATTTCCCTTCTACGTGACTTTGCCGAAAGAACCAAGAAGATGAATCCCTGCAGTCACGAAAGCTTTAAATCGAAATGTTACTGTTCGCTTTTTGACGTTCTCTGTTCTGACACTGGTCGTGAGACTAGGCCATAAAGAAAGCTGTCTCTGGTGTCGGCCAATCAGTTTCAAAGACAATGCACTATATTATCAGAGCATGTCTTGGTTGCATGTTCACCACAAGTACGTGCGGTTAATGCGAGTTCGATTCCTTGAAAAAGGTTTCTACTCGGTGTTTGAACATCTTAACACCTGTTTTTTTTTGCCAAAAATGGTCAAACCTCTTCTCGTTTTTCATGCTCAGGAAATAAGTTTTCAGTCTCGATTTAACAGTGCTTAGCTCCGGTGGCTTCCTAAAAATCCGAAGGAAGAGCGTTCAGATGGCCACGGAAACACATCTCAAAGCGTGCGATGCTCGCTGCGAGGATGAGCGGAGTTCGCGTGGTGGTTAATGCTCCTTGACGGGTTCAGCAAGGGGCCGTCCATAAATGACGTCACGCGATTTTGGACGATTTTTGTACCCCCCCCCCCTTCGTCACACGGCGTCACAAAAAGTCAGACCCCCCCTAAAATATGACGTCACAAAGCTCTGCCCCCCCACCCTCCCAAAACCATATTTCCATTTTGAAAATAAATCGTGCTTCAAATCGCTTTAAACTATTGTCATTGTAGTGCGTATTTAATGTGGCGCTGCACTCTGATGTTGTAGGAGAAAACATTTATTAAACGTATATTTAATTTAGTAGAACGTGTTGTCTATATTTATTTAAAGTTGCGCGTTTTGATGTGACGTCACATTTCTCAAACCCCCCACCCCCTCGTCACAAAAGGGTGACCCCCCCCCTCCCTAGGTGCGTGACGTCATTTATGGACGGCCCCCAAGATATTGTGGTGTATTCGTGGCAAGCACTTTGTGTGTTAATGAGTGCGACCTTCGACCTTATCGTGTTTTTGTCAACCGGAAGTAAATACAGCTCGCTAAGCTCTGGACGGACATGGGTGGATTTTGCAGAACCCGTCACGACACGTGCCAGGGAATGTAATACACGCGAATGCTCATGCCATTGCCTGTGATATGGCGAATTGTAATGTACAGCGTGTTTGAAAAATATAGACCCAATTTCGAAGCAGTATATTTCACGATGGCAACATGTTACATTTACACGAAAATTTCCAAACGGTTCAATGAGTTGTCAAGTTTCACTAACCATTTTATAAATGCTCTATGTGCCATCCACCTGCTGTACGGACAACATCGAGAGGATAGTTGAATTTGTCCCAAACGCCTCTCTTCTCACGTTTTCCTCCGAGGTGCGTGGTCGCCCTGTGCTCTTCCCCTTACATCAACAGCCTGTTTCCTCAAATTGTCGGTACCAACGACGAATGCTCTTTGACATCGGCGGATCAATGCCAAAACGCCGTTGAAACGCACGCTGCACCGCAATTACGGATTCAGTCTTGCTAAACTGCAGAACGCAAAACGCCTTGCGTTGAGGGGTCACCGTCTTGCGAATGACTGAGGATAGGGGCTGTTTGTGCACTGGGAGAGGCATCCTGCGGTAATCATTTGAAACTCTATGCCCCGCCCTCTCTATGCCCCGCCCTCTCTATGCCCCGCCCTTTCAAGTGGTAAGAGTTTCATTCATGGGCGGTTCGTGGTTGCAGAGATATAGCGATTTCAAATCGGGTCCATCTTTTTCAAACATCCTGTATATTACTGTTCTACTACAGTCATATACATCGCTATTGTATATCGAAACATCTCTTCCCCATAATAAATATGGGTTGATTCATTTACTGCAAAGTACGTTGGCCCATGAGTCCATAGGGGTGCTAGTTGCAGCTGTAACTATTACAAAGGATACCAAAACGTTTGCCATTAATTTCTACCACTGATATCAACTTGAATTGTTATACAGTTGAATACTGGTTATTTTTGTTAGTATTTTATTATATGAATAGATGATTTATATATTTTTTCTTCTTCGTCTTCAGATTCTATACCATCGTGGGTATCAGGAGGTACAACACTTTTCTGGCGTCATTTAGACCGTGGGCTTAAAGAGGCCGGTCATCATTTAGTTATCGCGATTAAGTCGCGACTATTCTCCAGTTAAGCCATGCATAACTGACACAACTGGAACTCCTGGGCGGAGGGTGCTTGGCACTCGGATTTCAGCGGGACAATACTATACCCGGCAGTTGTTGTCTCCGATCCAGGCTATTTAGTTTGTCGTCCTTCCCCCGCACCTGCGATTAGCACAGTTGGCTATGTAGGGTGCGAAAGAAGTTCAGCATACATACATGTGCATGATTTTCTCCGATCGGATCAAGTTCTGGCCCCGTGATTCATGGATACTTTTACAGGTAGGAACAACAGTTCCACACTGCCCACCAGGGATTATTTGTCTGTCTGTCTGTCGTGCATAGCCCCGCCCAAACACGTACGCTCTCGGATTGGTTGAAGTGCGTCACGTGACCGCGAGCCAGCAGCCAACCAGAGGTGCGCCCCTCCCAAACATGTACGCTGCCGGATTGGTTGAACCAAGTTCCTACCTGCCCACTACGA